TAGCAAATAGACCTTGGCATCAGCTTGCATAGTCAGTATGTTCACTTCTGTATATCTACAAATTTTTTACATTTCCTACAATTCTGGCAACAGTATTTTTACTTAACAAATCTAGTAATTATTTTTGGTAGCCATTGTTGTTTGTATAAATGTATTCCTTAAAATAAGAAGAGAGTTCTTTTTCATGTGAAACCATTTTGAAATAAACCTCTGTACATTAACCATTCTACTAAATCCACTATAGTTTGAAAATATACTTACTATATAGAATGAAATAAAATTTTTCCATGGAGGTGTACTTATTTTTGAATTGCTATGTATTAATAATTTTGGTTCCAGGTTTTCAATGATGTGGTATTTGGTAATAAATTATATCTAATAATATCCACCTTTTTTGATTTGCCAATAAATAATAAAATACTGGTATATCTGGTTTTAAAGAAAATTAACTTTTTATTAAAAACATTTGGTAGGGAGCATCCTTGTTTATGGGTGATACTGTATATCTATTTTACAACCCATATAAGAAATTTCAAAATCAGTCGTATTGACCAGCTAAGAGACAAAAGACAACAGAGAAAAGCATCAGCAAATATCCCCGTAGCTGCATCCCGAGATCCTCACTGTTGCACAGTATGTGAACTTGTATGCAGGTCACTAGTGGGACTGAAGTGTCACATATGACACAAGCATAAAAAAATGAATGAGGTGTCAGATCCTCATACATCAAAATCGAAGGGAGAGTCCATTATATAGTTTCGCCTGATGATTCTTGAAATATAATGTAGAAACTTAGTAGCAGTTTTATATTTAGGCTTGTTGACCTTGGTATTGAGCCCTCAGTGTCCACTTTTAGGCTCTATCTCTGATACTGAGTATTTTTACCCATAAATAGAGTTAGTATACCTTAAAAAAACTAGAGAGAGAAAGAGAGAGAGAGGATGACCACCCATCAAAAGCTCACACTACCAAATAAGTTATTGTGAAAATATTGACTTTCATAAAATTCTACACACTTCTTTGTTGTAACACTTATCATTTTGAGCATTAATGGATTTTCTTTCGATAGACAAGAACTGGTATTTAAAAATGTTTTTTTAAAAAATATATCGATAAAAATTACTTAATTGTACTTGTAGCCTTGGTTGAAACTGAAACAAATGACTATTTCAATCATCACAAAATTCTTCATAATTTGATTTCCTGAGCATTAAAACAAGACTAAGAGACATAAAATTTAAAATTGGATGACTAAAGAAGGTTTGTTCAGTTTAAATAAATGACATTTTATTTTCGACGTTAATTTCACTGAAATATTATCATTTTTTTGTTTAGGGACCTCCACTTTTTGGGCATAAATTTAAGATACCTAAGGTTTAAAATTAAATTTTAAAAATGAAAAATCTTTCTTGAAGATTTCGTTTTAGCTTTAATTGAAAATTTAATAATTAAATTTATTATTTCCATTAAGTAAAATATTCTGATGTATTTCAGATAGAAATTATATAGATTGGAATGTCAAATTTAATTTCGATTTCTTAAAATTTTCTTAAAAGCAGCCATTTTCTTAATTTTAAACAAATTTTTCTATTTTAAAATCCCTTCAAAAAATAAATATATATTTCTGACACGTTATTTTAGTAAAATTAGAAAATTTAAAGTTCAATTAATCTGATTTGAAATAACTATTACTTACTTATAGCATAAAAAATAATATACAAACCAATTATTAACAATTGGTCCTGTTCATCTCATCCAACGTTTGATGGACTGCTGATAGACAAAGTGATGACAGCTACTATGGATGACCCAATTGTCAGAAATCTAAGTGAATGCATATTTTTGGTTTTTACCTAGTAATTTTTACAAATGAACATATTTTCCGCAATTATTTAATATTCTGACTTTTATTTACCTTTCGAAGATGCAAAAATAAATTTAAAATACTATAAAATTTTCTTCAATTAATTTTATAATTTAATAACAAATGAAATACCATGATTATTCAATTGAAGTATGTCCCACACTAATGTAAATACATAAAATAAAAAATATTTAGCAAAATAGTAATTGAAAATAGTAAAACTTAGTTTAAGCTTTAAACTTTTAACCTGGATAGAAATTTTGAAAACCTGTTGAAACGTAACTGAAGCGACATAATAAAGGGACAAAACTTTTAGATCATAATAATGGCAATTTCAGTCTACCATATATGAAAATAATGAACGTATTAAGTAAAAAAAATACAAAATAAAAAATTATTTTAAAAATAGAATAGCACAACTAAGTTGATTAATCTTTTCAATTTTGGATTTGTAAATTTTGTTTCCACTTAATTACTATATCACATCCAGGAAATAGCCCAAGATTTTTACACGATTTTAAACTATTATAAATTATTAAAAAATGAAAAAGTCTTGTAAAAATTCATTATTCAACAGAAAAATTTTATTTCTTCAGAAAATAAAGTCTTTAATATTATTAACAAAAGCAATTAAAAGCTTTTCTAATTAATGTCATATGGATTCATTATTTTTCAATTCAGAGCAGATTTTCAGTTAGATAGCTCAAATTTGAAAAAAAAAAGCAGGTGATTTACAATCTCCAAGGACTCTACTTTTAACAAAAAAAATTTTCAGGAAATAGAAAGGTTTTGTGCGAAATTTCATAAGTGTGTGTGGGGGGGGGGTAACATATTTTTAAAAATTACCAAAATTATCTAAAAAAAAAAAAAATTTTTTAAATCTAAAAAATAATTTCATTTATTTGTGAATAAGTCCTGAAAATTTCATTAAAATCGGACAATTACTTGATTTTTACAAGAATTTCTAAATCAATGCGTTTTCAACGAAAAAAAAAAAAAACTATTTATTTTCATGTCACCGCGATGACGTAAAACAAAAGAAGATTTTAAGTTAACCAAAATTTCGAACGTGTTAGAAAGGATTAACAAATTTCAAAAAAATAATTAGAAAATAATACTTTGGTCTTTCAATATAACAAACATTTTGACGATAAAACTTAATTTTCGTTAAGTTTGCAGCCTTTTTTTTCATTATGCTGTTTTCCCACTAGTAAACTCATAATTCTCTAGTCTTCTATAACTTTTTTTTATCTTTCGCGACAAACAGCTGCTTTAAGTACTTTTTATATAAGGACACTGAAATAACTATTTTTCATTGCGAGAACTCAAGGGTGACATTTAAACTCAATGTCAACTTCCTACTTAAAAATAAAATGTATATAAATAAAGTAAACTTGGTAAATTTCTAACTTTAATTTTTAATTTTACATAAGTAAAACTAAACAAAGTTAGAAATTTTTACAGCGATAAAGATGTAAGAAATTCGGTTATCAAACTAAGAATAATGAATATAAATAGCGACAATTAATTATTAAAATAACTGGCAGATAGAAACTAATGACTGGCTGAAAAAATAACTATCAGCAAAACTTTGCGATAAAAGTTTTAAAAGGGCAATAAAATAATCAAGTAAATAGTTTCAATGTCAAAGTTAAAAATGTAAAATTGAACTGTAAGGGTGAGGTTTTTAATTTATTAGATAAGAAATTTGGGTTAAAAAAATTACTTCATTCCACGCATTTAATTCATGAATTGTTTTAAAATTATTGTGGCATTATTTTGATTTTTTTGCATTTTTTTGTCGTTAACACAAAATACATTCAAACAAAACACGTTTTTAATCGTTAAACGTTCAAAGGAAGAATCAAGAAAACAAAACGAAAAGTTACCAAAGATTACATTACAAATTATGAAAAACAAATATTAATAAATAATTTATTTTTTCTAAACTTGTGTACTCACTATATTCAAATTGTCAATCTAACATAACGTTTAATTGCTTCAGGCCAGATTAGACAATGAAAATTCGAAAGGTATATTCATCAACTTTCAACTAACATTTTTTTATTTAGCATGGTGCAAAAAAAATTAAGTTTAGCATTTCAAACCATTTCTGCATACCAAGTACTGATTTGTCCCCCTTTATATTCCCTGAAGTAAATGCATCAAAAATAAAAACGAACAAGTAAAAATGCCTCAGAAATAATAACAAAAAGTAAAAAATGTATCAGAGATAAAAGAAAAAAAAAGTAATGTTACATACATCCAGTTTTTTCGTAAGTAAAAAACAAAACTTAATTTCCATAAAGAAAATTCACGGATATATTTCATTTTAGATTGGAATATATTCATAATTCATTTTATTTCAAATGCATGACTTTTCAAATTCAAAAAAGGAGGCCTCATAATATGAAGCGAATTAAAAAAAAAAAAGGGGGGGGGTAATGTAAGGGAATTAATTCAGTAATTGGTAGAAAGAAATTGTTTGAAATGCTAAATTTGTAAACTTCCACTCGGGTCTAATAAAAAATATATTTGTAAAAAAATCCAAAACAAATAGACATCAGAATACTTGAATACTTCCAGCTTGTAGTGTTGTTGTGCATCATATGACAAATAACCTACTTTATAAATAAATTAATTACACTTTAGTTCACAGGAGCTCATTATCATTTGAATATTTTTAAAAAGAAAAATTATAAAAAGTTTCTAAATCGAGAGCCTAATGTGTACACGGCAAAAACATTGATAAAAAGACTTTATTTTACAGACAAACAGCATGTCTTAAATGTTTAACAGTAACACTAAAAAGAGAACATTAACGAAGCTTAGATCATAATGTCAGACACAAAGTCAGTGTCCAGTTTCAGGTTACATTGATTGTAAAAAAAAAAAAAAATCGAAGACCATATTTTAACCACATGACTCACTTGTCGTTTTTATATTTTTCCGAAAACAAACAGGGTGCCGGTGCTATTACACTTTCGCATCTACTGATGATAAAAATAAAAAAATTAATTGTAAAAACTGTAAAAGTAAAATATTTGCTAGTAAGATGGGGGTATGCTGAAATTTAAAAAGCAAGATAAAGTTGGTAAACACGGTGAATTATTGTTTAATCTAAAAACATACATACCATTTTTCCACGGATTACATGGCTCAGAAAATCCAGTAACGATACAATTATCCTCTGGAAAGCTAACATTACGTTTAGTTCCCATCCATTTGGAATTATTATTAGAATTGTTGTTCTTTGCCACGTGGTTCGTACTGTAATCTTGATTGTTGTTTATGTGATTGTTGTTATTACTAACAGAATTACTGGTAGAAATACTCGTATTGATAATGGAACTATTATTACTAGGATTAGTGAGTTCGCCTACCCCTAGAATTAACTCGGGTGATTTTTGTGGTTGTAATTGTTGGGGAGACAAGGATGTAGTTGTAGTAGCACTAACCACAGTAACGTCATCATTATTGTTATTGTTGATGCCGTTGCATCCATTATTGTAATGGTTTTTGGGGAAAGGGCCATGATCAAATGGGAGAGACGAAGTCTGTTGTGTTAATGGATCATGATAGAGGCGTATGTTCTGTTTGAACAACTGCTGTTCAGATTCGTTAGTCACAATCGTTGTTGTTATCTTACAGCTTGAATCCTCTCCTCCCAGATGTGTTTGTCCATTCTTTTTAGCTTCAACACTTGTTCGGTTGGCATGAGCTGTATTCAATAAATTTTCCATATCCTGGATGCTTAGTCGATATTATTGTTGTTATTGGTGGTGATGATGATGATGATGATGATAATTTGAACAGCAGCTGCGGCAGTGATGCTGTTTTTCCTTCTTTCCTCACTTGAGATTTTTTTCTTTTTTGCTCAAACAGTTCGACACATCACTTAATCACAAAACTGGTTTATAATTTTCCCTTGTTAATAAAATCGTTGCTTTTGGTTAGGGGCTGTTATGCTTGTTGCTAGACAGTGGACACCAACTCCAGTTTTACTGTCGGCCTTCTTGGGCTGAAGTGCAATTTTATCCAAGTCCGTCTGCTCTCTCCGTTTTTTTTACAAACTTTACACATCGATGACAACAGAAACGTCAGTAATAAAATAAGTATTATTCTCACAAATGATCGTATTGTCGTTATTATTAGCAATGTAATAATTGTGTTGGTACTAGGCAGCAATAAAAGAAGAAAGCACAGGTGCAATAATTGTAGTAGCAGAAGCAGCGACGGCAGGAGTAAATATTTGCTGCACTAGATAACAAAACTTGTTGTTAACTTAAGGTAGATCTCTTTAATGCAGTGAATGATGAAATTGAAGTATAAGAAACAAAACCCGGCTTGCTTGACACATCCAACAACACCTCTTCAGACATGGTCATTTAAATATTATTGATGGTGAGGATAATAGTAGTAATAGGCATCTGGTGTTGTCTCTTCCTTTTTTGCTCTCCGAGGTCTGGTTGGTCGGCTGACACCAGATTTGTGTTAAATGGCAGCTCTAATGTTTTTCTAACGTTTTTCTCGTGTACTTGGGAATAATATTCCCGGTTGAAAGTATATTCCTTTTCATGACTTCAATTCCGAACGATTCTAACAGAAATTTCGATTTCTTTTTTCTTTCTTACAAACAATACATGAGCGAGAGAAGCGAACAGCGAAAACATCAGGTGTCCGCCATGTCTATTACAGAGCCTACGTCATAAGATATTTGTGAGGGAAGAGGAGGCAAAATGATAGAAGAAAAAAGTGTAATACTGAAGGTCAGGAAAACAGAAAGAAAGAATGATAGATGTATTAAGTTGGAGGAGTAAGTACGAAGATGATAGTGGGTAAAGCATAAATCCAGTTGAGAAGGAGAATGACATAGGTAGAAATAATGGCGACATTGTTATTTTATTTAAAATTTATGTAATTTAATAACATGTTGATTTTTTTGTTCATACTGATTATTGGTAGATTGCCTGTTTAGCTACCTACAATCTCAAAGCCAATAGTTTTAAACTAAAAAGAAAACTATAATCAAACAAATTTGAGTTGACTCAAAAAATAATTGTAACTCGATAATAATCTTTTATTGTCAAAGTTACATAGAAATCTTCTCCTTAAACATTGTCAAAACCAAAACAAAATATGTCACAAATAAAATCTTGGATACTCATATTGTCATTATTGTTGAATGCATATTTTCCGGATACTATGTTGTTTGTTTACGTCATTATTCTTCGTCTTGCTCCGCTTAAATCAATTTATGACAAAAATAATTCTTCTATATGTACGTAACGTAATTATTCTACTTAACTTCTGGACGTATGCCTCGGTGTAGTTATTGTAGAGAAGGTTTCGGGTTTATCAAGCTAGTTTGTGTGATGATGATCATTACAGTTACTCCTACTCAAGTGAATTTAATCCTCACTGGGTGCTCCTTCTTACTTGTGGCCTTGCGTCAAGTGAAGGTTAGTAAATAAATAGGGCAGATCAATTACAATACCGTAATAAGTTTGATCCTCACTGGGTGCACCATACTTGTGGCCTTATCCCCAATTTTAGCTACACTTCTTGTCTGGACAATAAATTGATAATACCAAACCAACTCTATTCAATTTTTTTTTTCTGTCCTTCTCTTCATTCACTAAAATCAATCAATGTTTATTTCATGTAAAAAATATTTTCCATAGTTAGGGTTCAATAATACATATATTTAATATTTTAAACAATAATGCATTATGCTTTTCTATTTGGACAAGCATGCTCATCTTTTTGTTATGCTCCCAATGTTTCAACCGTTGTACTCTATGCACTTCTTTAGGTATCTCTCTTCATACTTTCATATCAATACCTATCAGTCTTATTCCTCTTTCTATCGCTTGTTCCTTTCTTCCGCTAAGAGCCAGTGATATATGGCCTAATGGATTAAAGCACCAGTTAAAGCATATCTGATTTTCAGGTAGTTATTGGTTCAATCTCTTGGCTTGGGAGTAACATAATATTACTTTTTTGGCAGGAAAACAACTTTTATTATAGTTAGTGAGGGTTTATTTTGCAATCGATGTAAAAATGTATCCACTTTTCATTCTCTTATCACAATTTGTTTTAAAAGCAAACTATTTCATTATGTTTAATTTGCAAATTGTAAATGTTGACTATTTTCATGTAATATCTTCATTTGAATTCTATCAGTCTCAATTATTTTATCCAACCACAAAGTATTGTTCAGCAAGAAATTTCTGGCCATAAAACATCACATTTATCTTTCATAGTATCTTTATAAACTGCCAAAATTTCTTTTTGGATTTTGAGTTGTTCTTTATTTTTTTTCAAATTCAAAAGCATAACATACAAAAACACTTTACTTCCAACTTCAATGTCAGAACCAAAAACATAATATCAATTTTGACATACTGCTAAAATACATGCTGATCTGTGATCGCCATTTCAATAGAATAAAGTGATATTTTTTAATGATATGAACTGAAACTAAATTTTACTAATGCTATCTAATGACAAACTAGGACATTTCTTCATTAAGTGCAAATTGGATTATTAGCATTTGGGGGTGACTGATTTTAGTGTATAGAATGCAATTCAGGTCATGCATTTCTCATTTTTATTTATGTAAATTACAATTATATTCTTAACTCAGTATTGTTTGTATATAAGAATTTATGATTTAAATTTCTTATTCTCTGTAAAAATGTTTACATATTTCTTACTGAGAAAAAAATTATAAAAGGACAATAATATATAACATTAACTTTCCCTGTTAATCCTTATCTTTGACAACAGGAAAGGGGTATAAAGCTCACTGATGAAAATATTTTTCAGAGAATATAAAGAAGAGAAACATTAATTCTTGAGTACAGACTGCCTTTTATGTTGGTTCAATTTCTCTAACTACTGAAATTAATATTTAACATTGACATTTCATTCAGAAGTTTTTTATATATCCAAGTATTCTTTTATTAACAATCTTAAATCAGAAAGGATTTGTTATTACACATTTTTTCTAATAACTTAAAATATATTTACAATGAAACTAATGCTGTATACCGTATATACTTGAGTATAGTGGGAATATAAGGAGTCACACACTACCCAGGTAATTTCTTGAAGGGGTTACAATTCATTCAAAAAAAACTTAAGGGTCGCACTATAGATGAAGTCAGCTTAAGTTATACATATGGTATACATATTTATATGTCATGCAGATATTTTAGAATATTTAATTTCCAAAAACTTATAAATTTAACTCATTGTTGAAAATTCTGCAGTCTGCTGAACATTCTGTAATGATAAAAAAATTCTTTCATATTAGGATCAAAATTATTTTATATTGGGGTCAAAATGCAATAAATAAGCTCAAAGGATTAATATTAATTTTTTTAATATCTAGTTTGAAGTAATTTAACAAGTCTTAATTTACCATTTTATTTTTATTTTTTAGCTTGAATCTGAAATCATGTTTCATCAAATATGATGTTGAAAATAAGGATCTTATTCACCATAAAAAAAAAATTCATAAATTGAACATCTACCCAGTAAGTCAAATATATATATTGCTATCTGTACTAAGAGGAAGAAATAAAAACTGAAAAGTAGAAAGAAAATAACATCTATAACGATTGTGGAAAAAGATTCAAGTTTATATAAAAAAAAATGGTAGGTTCTCTAATCATTAACTGAGCTCCAGTTTTTTCTCTACACATATCATACTTGCCAAAATATTTTCTTTGCCATGTTAAATGCCATGCATCTATATTATGAAGAAAGTTATATTTTAACTTCCATAATAAAAGCAATGTTTGAAAGCGGATCTACATTTTGGCGGGCAATTGAAAAGAAATCATGCAAATTCTTTTTACTTGGCTTCATATTTTTGGTAAATTTTTAAAACAAAACTTGATGTAAAGAATTTTTTCAAACTGGGAAAATCAATTAATGAACACTGGCAAAATGAAAAAAGTGTTTAAGTCAATTCAGATAGAATTAAATATCTTGTGACCAAGTAAAGTGTCAAATGACTAAAGGTTGTTTTAAAGTAAGTGGATTAAAGGTTGGAAGGGAATTTTTGTTGCTTTTTTGTTGAGAAATAATTGACTTGAATGATCAATTGCAAATTCAATCATGGTCAGATTTTTGATTATATAATTCCATTGAAAAAGCAAGCTTTTAATGTCTAGGTATTATTTAAGTTTCAATGCAAAAAAAAGATAAT